TACCCGAGGCTGGGTGCATTATGAATAAAGACAAAAATTCTTAATAAGTCTTTTTATTTCCATCAAAACAGTATCACTCTTCCGAGATCAGCTTTCGTTCCGTCTACAAGCAAACATTCGAAACACTCAGCACGCAGGCTGACGTCACAAACAGCAGCGCCTCGCGCCGGTTATTACTCAGTTCATTTCACAACATCCTCCCCCCTTGAGACTCAGGTTGAGTCTCAAACTCATAACAATATTATTTAAAGATCAAGTCTTTTTGGACTTTTACAAGTCGTCCAGAGAGGAATATTGTTTGATCTTCAACCAGATGACAGTTTCTTATTATGCACATTTCTGATTATAACTTAGTGAAATCACATTTTTCTGGTAACAGTATTGGATACAGAAAAGATTCATGGTCATCTCTATTTAGTCAATGAGCGTTTCAATAAAATTATAAGATTTCTTATCAGTCAGATAATAATTTTGAACCAAACGAATTAAAATTTTCTCAGAATTTTCAATTTCATACTGTGAAAGTTCAATGTTTCTATTCTTTTCAGAACCACCTTTACAATTATTTACAAATCTAAATATCCATGCAAATATTCTAATCATTTTTGTCATAATTGGATACATCGATTCGATGCCAAGGGGTGCGTCTTTTGATAGATCAATATTCATTTTTATCTTTTTCCTCTCCAATTCTACTTCTTCATGCAAACAAATAATCTCACCAGTGGGCCAGTTTTCAGGGCCTTCTCGCAACCACAAGGGGCCTTCCCACCATCTAGACCGAAGCATCTGCTTCGCAAAACATCCACGTGATAACAAGTCGGCAATATTTAGTTTCCCTGGGACATGTCTCCATGAATGACCTCGCGTCAACTCTCGAATCTCTTTAACCCTATTTTCGACGAAAACGGACCAATTTCCTTGCTCTGTTATCCACCAAAGGGCAGTGGTTGAATCAGACCAGAAGGTAACTTTTAAATCGGGCAAACTGAGAGCCTTGATAATAGAATTTGCAAGTCTAGAACCTATACAACAGGCCATTAATTCTAAGCAAGGAATGCTTAAAGATTTCAAAGGCGATACTCTAGACTTCGCCCGTACGAGATTTATTTTTACTTCAGAATTAAATATTGATCGAACAAAGACGCAAGCTGCATACGCCCCTTGCAAGCATCCACAAATACATGTAGTTCAGACGTGTCATTGATAAACAAGTATCAAGGCAAAGTAACATCTTTCAAAACATTAAGTTCTTTAAACCAGTTCAAAAATATATTTACATCATTCGGAGACAATTCATCATCCCATGCAATTTTCACTTTCCACAATTTTTGCAACAACAGTTTTGGAAGCAATGTAGTTGGCGTTAATAAACCAATAGGATCAAAAATTGTCTGCACAATTGCCAAAATTGTCCTCTTTGTGATTTTCGTATCACAGGTCAATGTATCTGTATCTGTGCAGCACCTCAGTGTATCATTATCCAAATTCCAAATTACCCCCAAAACGGAAGTATCCCCTGAATGTTTGTCAACATTTGTACCAGCCACATTGCTTTCAAAACCGCGCAAGTTAAAACATCCATTTGACATGATTAATTTGGAATGTTCAATAAACGTAAACTGTTCATCAATACTAAAAACACTAGATAAACAATTATCCACATAAAATGACGATTTTCAATTTTTGAGCAACTTCACCATATTGACGTGGACAGTTTTCTAATAGATGCATTATAGATGCGTTCAACAAGTAGGGGCTCGAAGAAACTCCAAACACAACTCTGCAATGCCTATAAATTAATTGCCCTTCATTGCATGGGAAAAAAAATCTGAGAAAATCTCTATCTTTAGATGCGACGGATAACATTAAAAAAGCTTTTTCAATATCGGCACTAATACCAATCGGATACATTCTAAAACGATCTATAATATCAGGTATTAATTCAATAAGATTCATTCCTTTACACAAACATTCGTTCACAAGAGAGCTTCCCTTTCTCAGATGCAGAAGCGTCAAAAACAGGACGAATTTTTCGTGGTTTCACTTCCTAATTTTGATTACAGGCCTATGCGGCAAATAATGACATTCATTATTCAGTTCGTTTTCTGGTACGCGTTCAATAATATTCAACCTTTCCCATTCCTTGAACACATTTTGATAATCATCGAAAAATTTACTACATCTGAGTTTATAGATCATCTTTTGATACCTTTTCCAGGATAATTCTTTATTATCGGTTAAATGTGTCGTATCACATTTCCACGGAAGTTCTACTTCATATCTTCCATCTGGAAGAATTTTCATTTTGTTCTCAAATTCAGATAAATTAAAACTTTCATTCATTTTAACAGTTTTCGTTTGGAGCGCATATTCCTATTTTTTCAAGTTCCCATAACTCATTCAGAGGAATTCTCCTGACATGCATTGAAAATGTTTTCAAAATATTATCCTTTTTCACCCGAATTTCGTTTTCCAAATACCGTCCACCCAAGTTTCGTTTCGACAGCCGTTACCCCACCCCCCGGACTGTAATTCAATAGAATTTCCCGTCAATAATTTTCCTATAACATCTGCTCCGATTAAAAGGTTAATTTCAATTTCCTTTCGCAATGGATCAGAAAATTCGATTTCTTTTTCTTTTAATTCATTCAAAATCTCTTTATCTTTAACCTTAGGAATAAAACCGCAAATCTTTTTTTCCGATAATGCCTCAAAACTACATGCGAATGTTCCTTTTAAATTGCTGACCTCGACCGAAAACACTTCATGTTGTTTAGGTTTCGTTTCGTCCCCCCCCCAAACAGTGCATGTATAACTGTCTCCTCCCGAAGTGGAGATGCTTTAAGCTGACTCATCATATTTTCACTAACGTAGCTACTTTGGCTTCCGCTCCGCTATCAATTATGCAGCGAATAATTTTCTCGCGACCTTGACACCGAATTCGAACGCAAAGCGTTTACAAAAATACAGTTTCGCTTCTGCCACAGTTAGAAAGAGAACTCTCTTTTGAAACATTTATCTGATCATTATTTTTTAGCTTTTGATTACACATTACATCAAAATGATTACAACTTTTGCAAATAGAACAACTTAACTTACCTTTGAAAGGACAAAATTTACTAATGTGACTCGCTCTTTTCAGACAAGAAAACAAGCACCTTTTTTCAACAACAATTGTTGTTTTTCAGCTAAAGTCATTTTTTTTTTTTTTTTTTTTTTTTTTTTTTTTTTTTTTTTGCAGAGTAACATTTTTCACTAAAATGTTTCTTTTCACAAAAATTACAGTTCGGAACACTCTTACCTGAATTCTCAAGACTTACTAGAGCTGATGCTGTTACGGGATCATTTTGCTTTACCTGTTCGTGGTTAAAATCTTTCTTCCGATGGTTCTGTTGGGAAGCGAAACCAGTTCTTGCGAGGAGAACCATTTCTTCCCCCTTAACTTCCTGTTTTAAGAAATTCATTAAATATTGCAAAGATCGAGTCCCTTTAGTTTCAATGGAGTCGTGATTTCTGCTTCTTCTTTCCCATGCCATCAGTACTTCTTCTGGTAAGCAACTTTCCACTAAGGGGGTCAAAAAATCCCCATATTTTTCTTGGGTTTCTTCCCCAAACTTTCCAACGCTCGCAATTTTCCTTCTAGTTCATCATACAGGGAGGGTAGATCAGTTTTTGCTCTTTCGGTTACAGCGTTTTTCATCACTAGGCTTAACAAGTCTCTCACATAGATTTGCACAAGTAAATCTTCGCGTCCAAAGCGCTCTCTTAGTTGTTCGATGGCTTTAGGATAATTAGCTGCCGTTGCCGGGAAGCTAAGGACTAGGCGTTCTGCTTTCGATTTGGGTTCCATGGCCTGCAACAGATACTGCATTTTATCTTCATCGGCGATACTTCTGTCGTCGTGGATTTTCTAGAACTGACTCCAAAAAGTCAGGTAATCTTTAGCTTCACCACTGAATTTTTTAAGCTCAATTTTAGGCAATTTAAATTTCCTAGATTCGGAATTATTTGAAAGAGAGGAGGCTTGTATTTCCGCATCTATTTGAGCACACTGTTCTAGAAACATATCTCGATAATTCTCCGCTTCTTGAAAATCATCACTAAATAATTTTTTTTCTCCATCTTCAGTCTGCAAAATCTGCTGCGATATAGCACTCTGGCATACGTCAAGTCTCTGGAATTTATCACAAAGTTGACACTTCAAAATCGAAAGTATTTTTAAATCTCTTACTTCTTTAGTTAATTCACTTTCGGTTTTCCTTGAGGTTTGCGAAAACGCAATTCTAAGTCCTTTTCTTTGAGCCTTTAAAGCGATCAAATCCATCTTCAAAGTATATTCAAAATCGAAATTCAATATCAAAAGTTCAATCGGAAAATTCTAATTCAATAGCACCCGGTCCCGCCGAGGGTACCACTATGTTACGAAGAACACAGAAAATATATAAATCAAATATATTTAAAACAGTTCGTTCAGTTGCGGGCCTGCCTCTACCCGAGGCTGGGTGCATTATGAATAAAAACAAAAAAAAATTCTTAATAAGTCATTCTTTATTTCCATCAAAACAGTATCACTCTTCCGAGATCAGCTTTCGTTCCGTCTACAAGCAAAACATTCGAAACACTCAGCACGCAGGCTGACGTCACAAACAGCAGCGCCTCGCGCCGGTTATTACTTCAGTTCATTTCACAACACCTATAGAATTGGAGTGATGGATTCCCCAAACTGTATTTTGTGTGACTCCTATCCGCCTATGATTTTTGAACATTTAAATATTTGTATTGCACATTATCGGTATGAGAACATTGTTAAAAAGTACTGGAGAGCATAAGCGCTTATGTTTGGTATTTGCAAAATAAATAAATTAATTAAATCTTTTATATTGCAGCATGTGTGTCTGCAAACTAAACTGCTGATCAGTTAGTTACAAAGACTAAAAGGAAATAAAACATCAAGTATTGATGTTCATAATTATTCTATTTTTGCAACTTCCAGCACTACAGCACCACTGCAGTAGAAACCAAAGAGCTTCTTAACAATAAAAGATGACAGTATAGCCGAAATTTTAAAAGCTGCCTTTGATGAATTAAGTTGCCAACGGAAGTTTGTGTTCTGTTTCGTTTACTTATTGCTATAACTAGTTTGAAATCTCCTTCTGCTTGTAGTCATGTTATGTCACCATGACAAGTCTCCTAATTAATAACTACCAATATATTTCAACAATTCTATTATCAGATGTACAAAGAAGGGAGATTTGCTTTATTTTGAAAGCGATATTTAAATCTCCTTTCCATATGACAAAAGAATATTTTATGAAAATATTAGTTTCTACCTCTTATGAACCTCTGATGCAGTTTTCAATGCTAAGCAATTATCAATTACCAAACCTTCACTTCATATCACAGTACACAGTTGCATCCACATACAACTACAATGCTATAAATCTTTGATTCATATCCGGCTTTAATTTAAATACTAATTTATATCACTATTATTTCGAACTATTAATTTAAAACATTCAATCGATATACTTAGGCCACACTGTTCTTATTCACTTAAAAATGTTTTGCTGATTGTACATATTACACAGGAAATTTCTTACACCTGATTATATTAATAATTTACACGGTAAAACAACTTACCGGTACAATTCTATTTTGTTGGTTTGGAGGGCACCAGCCAGGTAAAGAAACAAGTTCTGATAATGCAGATGCAGCCAAAGCCCTCAACATTTTGTCTTTTGCATTTAGAAACTTTAAAAGTGGGCATGAGATTCCACACTCAGCAAATTTTTCACAACCTTTCCGGAGAGAGCAACAGGAAGCAGCAGCTAAACATAACTGTTGTAGAAGCTTCTTGTCATGCTAAAAAATAAAGTGTTAGAAGGAAACAAGTTAGCAGCCATATTAGAATAAATGCATATAACTTGAATAAAAAATGCAAGAAATATTAAAGAACTTGAAATAAAAAATAAATTTTCATGCTCTGAATTTTTAAGATTGTGAGAAGCGCTGAAATTTTAAATTCCATTTACACTACAGCCAAATTCCTTGATTCCCATTTCTATTAATTTCTTAAATTCAGCTGATCATAATTTTTCAGTGTGCCAACTAAATGAAGAAATAAGATGGTGCAAGTACAAAAGCGCTCCACAAGGCGTTGTTCCTGAAGAAAGTTCGTGACAATGTGTGAATATTTCGGTCGCAAATTTTAACTCTGCATAAAGATACAAAATGAAATGTTAAGTTTTTCAGGAGGGGAGGGGCTGAAAATGAAAACCAAAAAAAGTTTAAAATTGCAAAGCCTTGTTTATTCTTGCCCTCTGGTCACTGACGGATTCTTTCATACTAAGCTTTGTTCTATCATTTGTATCAGAACAATATGTACAAGGAGAAAGCTAAGCTTAGGGACAGAACATAAGTTTACCACGGTTATATAAAGAGACTCTTTTCGACCACCATGCCTACATAGAGCGTTAATTTAGGGAATCGATTTGCCCAAACTGTCGTTTTCGACCAATTTTCCTTCCCCCTTCTCACCCGCGAAGGAGTATCTTTTTTTTTCCGTTTCCCTACTGTCCTACTAATCTCGGCTCTACGTGCCAGTTGGGGGGAACAACATGGCAGTTTTGGCCATCTCATCATTTTTTTATCTCATTAGTCTACTACCTTTGTTTTCAAATCGCTATCTACAATTATTAGTAAATTACTTTTTAAATAAACTTCGATTATAATAAAGTGATTCGATGCATAATTATTCAGAATCAGAAGAAATTTCGAAAAGAAAATAATCATGCCGGGAAAGTTTTACTCGAACAATGGATTCTGGAATGAATACGTAGAGATTCAAATCCGAAGATTTAGAAGTAGTTGCACTCGAACTTTACACTAAACTAAAGTATAATATCATACATAAGAGTACCACGAGAAGAAACTTGCCCATGTCTACATACCGTGGTGTTTGACAATCCCAGTATCCTCCGATAGGTAATCTTGTAAGCACATTCTCTATAACTGAATTCGCATTTGGATTCACTTATTTACAACCTTGGATGGGTTCTTTGCGTTTCTGCCCGCAATAAAATGAACAGGCTAAATCTTAGCAGGCCCTTTCAAACAGGCCAGCTCAAGCCTCTTCTCGCATTGATGTAGCTGGAGGGTAAGGGAAGAATTTGTTCAGGCATTGCATTCAGGGCACACCAAATTGATGTTTCGAGTTTTTAGAATGAAATTTTTTCTATTTTTGGCAAATAGAATGGGGTCCGAAATGTTCCATTGTCTCCGGGCGCTGAAGATCCTAGCTACAGTTCTTTCTTCTCACTATGGACAGACTATACTGGACACACACACAGAACATTGAAAGAATGTGAGATCTTTCTAAATGGTGTAATAAGAAACAGCCCGGTAACGCTAGGCAACATCTGAATCCTTATTTAGTCGAATTTATTTCCCGTAAATATGTCGTTGAAATAGTCATGAATAAACAAATGAATAATAATAACTTTCGGCTTACGTTTGTACGCAATTGGGAACATATGGCTTCCCGAAAGATGAATTATGTATGAGTACAGCTTCTTTCCAAACAAATATAATTTCCGAAAATAAGTCGAACTTTAGGTGTCTGTGTGTGATTATGGCAAAGCCTCGAGGGCTATCTGCCTAAAGGGAAGGATGCCTTCGTGGAGGACTTTCTAAGGGAAAGTAACTCGTATACACGTTACACATGGGGAAAACCACGAAAACGCCCATGCAGCCAGCCCGTTCACGGGATTCGAACCTCGGACCGAAGCTGGTGGGCTTGAACTTTAGGTATTTCAAATACTATTACTTTTATATCCGAACGGTAAGTTCTGTATTTATGTGCAATGAAACATATGGTTTGTTTTTTTATCATGTAACAAATTAAATAATTTTAATCACTAATGTATTATACTTCTGTTTCTTGAACTTAAACTGGCAACATTGCTTCATTAAAATAATGCGAGGGATTACGATACTTTTTTCTTCTTCACAAATGGCAGAACTTTCTTGTTTATATTTAATAGCATAGGTTATTTTGATTTTGACTACGCACAAAGCTGGAGCAAGCATTTGACGATTTTTTATGAATGGCAACAAACTATTTTTCGGTGCTCTATTAACAGAAAACTACCGTTTATTTTAAAGCTGACACAATTGAAATAGGATATTTGAAATTGTTAGGGCAAATAATGGAGGGGAAAAAATAACATGCCCATTGTTTTTCTTTGTTACAGATAGTTTCGTGATAGATATATAGTGGCGCTCATGAACACAGAAGCGGCCGACCCTCAAAATTTCAAATATTTGTCAAGATTTGAAATATTCAACAGCTGCTTTTAAGAAGCTTCATTTATCATCTAGAACTGCAATAGATAAACAAAAGTTCAATAAAACTATTGCCGGGAAATGTGCTCTGAAACATCTGAAAATTTTGCTTTCATTTTTGGGACACATGCATTGAAAGGAAACTGAAGCAACATACCTCAAATTTTCATTGAAATGACAGACAAATCGAGATTTCCAAATACTTCAAGATTCTTGGCAAAAGCTGATGTTTTATTTATGAAACAAAGATAAAATGCAGTGTAAGAAATCACATTTGTAAGAAAATCAAAGCCGCAAGGTGCAAAAAAACAAACCATAGAAATTTTGGTTTCAGAAGTCATTAGTAAAGATTATGCTGGTCAATGTCTTTGACTGCCAAGGTGTAATTAACCAGATATCCATAACCGGGTTACAAGCAGTAACAGATAATTTTTGAACAGTTTTGCAGTAAACTCTCTTTCAGTTAAACTGGATAATTGGTCTTTGCTACACAATAATGTCCCTTTGCATAAGGCAACTATCACTATGCAGTTTATGCCAAACATAAGATTAACTTAAATCGATTCCACTAACTTGCTGCATTTGCCATACCTCTTATACTATCGCAATGTTTTTTTCTCTAAAGTGAAACCTCAATTTAAAAAGTAAATTTTAAGACCACTTCTGAAATTCAAAATAAAGCTCAACCAGAAAATTACATAATTGTGCATGTTTTTGAAAATGACCAGACATTTTACAAATGACTTTAAAGATGTATAACTTTAAAAGGAACCTGCATACATAGCTAAATAGTGATAAAGTCGCCACTCTTCTATCTCTACATTTTACGAATTCAGTCTTGGAATTTTATAGAAACACTGAGTATACTAAACAACTGCAATTAAAAGCATTCCAGAATTAATTTAGAAAAATAAAATAATAAAAAACTTACAGTTTTCATAAGCTTCATTAGATGAGAAGCAACATCAAATTCAACAAGTACAGACAAAGCACCTTTGTCCTGGGCTAAATGATGAATCAAAGTACATGCAGGAATTAGCAGCTTTTTACAATTTGATGTTAATAAATCAATTATGCATTCAATTCCATCAAGTGAATTTTCCATCTGCATGTTTGCTTTCTGTCAAAATACAATTAAAAGAATTTTGACATTAATTATACTTAGATTAAGGAATCAGTGTAAAGAATTAAAAATTGAGAATAAAACCAAAATATAAATAAATATGAACACAAGTGTCCCTACCCTCACTCCCCCCTCTTTTTTATAGAAAAACAGAAATAGAAGCTGAGTGGACGTTTCTAGTTGAAGAACTGAAATAAAAACCCAATTTTGTTGTTGATTTTAGTCCTCCCAAATAATGCAACAAAATATGTCTATTACCTTATCATTTTTAATTGTACTTCCCCTTTCCCAAATAATATGCAAACTATCTTTCATTCTTAATGTTTTTCCTTTCCCTCAACAAACATGAAATTTTTACAATAAAACTTGTTATTGAACCAAGCAGCTATTTAATAAGTGTTTATAAAATTACCATGAATATATATTTCAGTAACATCAGAAATGAAACACGAAAGTTAACATCACACACACGCAAACCTAGATCTTGATTCAAACTCAAATGAATGACAATTCCTAATACCTCAATTAGATCAGACTGCCCGCATGTAGCCAAACAACAAATTAGCATTTTTCTTTTTGTTATTTATTCATTCAAATTATATTAAAAATTTAAATTGTTCCATTAGTCATTGCATTATACATTAATTTCTTAAATCAGAAATAGTTTGTTATATTAAGGGCTATACTATGCTCCCAATTTGTAAAAAAATGAAATTTGTTTAATAAATTTAAGAGCTAATTTACTGAAAGTGGAAATTTTGCAATTTTAACAGTAATTTCTTTAACAAATAAAACAGCCTGCTAAAATTCAAGAATTTATATATAGTACACATAGTTTTTCTTTGACTTCAAAAATTATTATCTCTTAAAAAACATAAAATCCAACATATTGCAGCTATTTAAAAGATGTAGGGTTACTTTTGTAGCTGGAAATTAAAGTTCTGAAGATCCTACTAGACAAGATAGCGAGTTATTGCTACGTCTTAAATAGTCACAAAAGTACTGAAGAAGGCTTAAGCTTTCTATTTTAATCTAATTTGAACATAAATGCATAACTTGCTCTTGTATATAGTACTGGTCAAAATGATAATAACTGGTTAATAAACATAAGATACCTTACAAAGACATATAAATGGAAAAATAACACAATATAAATGGAAAAATAACATAATATAAATGGGAAAATAACACAATATAAATGGAAAAAAAAACATACACTTCAATGGGCTCTAAAATTAATTCAGAGCATTTTCCACTGAATTTATTCCTCTTGATAAAAATCAATCCTAATCTTACATTTTTGAATATTTCAAAGAAACTTTTTTAAATTCTAGATAATGATAACACAGTTTATATTTAGTTTAACACTTAAAATAAATCCATATTTTTAAAGCACTGTTGAAAGTAAACAAAATAAGTTCTGCTACTTTAAAATGTTTCAATATGCAGTTTTATTTATAGAAACTAAAACCGAGCTTGTCTAGTTTTTGATTTCACATTTTACGACAGCAAAACAAATACTATTCAAAATTGACTAGAACAGAGATGAAATTAGAGAGATTTCTGTTTCATTTCATGAAAACAAAATATTTAAGTACAATATGGAAAAGTACAGAAAACAATTTCGTTTCTAATCCATGAATAATGGAAAATTTAATACATTAATAATACAACCTTCATATTCTTTAATATTGTGCACAAAGAAGAGGCTGCACTGCTCTGAACATGAATATCAGAATTTTTCAAACAAGACCATACAAGCTGAACAGCATTTAAATGGATATATTGGCTAAAAATAAAATAACGCACATTAAAAATGCAGCACAACACTATGTAAAAAAGATATATAGATATATGAAAAAGTATGTTAGTTACCTATTCAAACACAGAAGCTCCTAATTTTCTCGCAGTCAAGAAGGAACTTAACTACAGAACATTTCAAGTGGAAGTACAAAAACAATTGAACTGCATTTCTACTTACATAAAGTTTGCTAAAATTATCAAAATTTATACATCTTCATTAAATACATTACCTGTGCTCTGTATCGTTAACAAAAACCTTGTTAAATATCACTCAGTTTTAATAAATTCTGTAATACTAAATTTTATAATTCTTCACTTACTTAGATACTTGAACTGGATTGTACTTATATCCTCAAAATAACCGAAGATACAACAGTTTTTTTCTTACATATAGATTTTCACACTAGTGGAAAATACTCATTTGTACACTCGCACACATATATGTGCACACACAACAAGGTGTCCATAAAAGTCTTTAACCGGTCTTTATTTTCAAAACCATTGGTCGCATACATATACTTCCAATTACAAAATGTTTTAAATGATCCAAATATTCATTTTTTGGCATTTTTACATTTAAAGACACCAAATGTGTAAAAATTACTAAATCCAACTTTTTATACATTCTTCTGATCGATATGTTTATATTTAGGAAAATTTTACATTCATAAAAAAAAAGGTTGACTCATACGGCAAAAATCGACAAAAATATATGATATTAAAATCGAAAGTTATATTCAGGGACTGTAGTTAAGTGAAAAGCAAAATGTTCGCTTTCGCACACCGCACATACCTAAAAATAAAATACCAATTCGGAGAAAGGCTTCTGTTGTTAAGAGTGAAAGTAATGAGTATTTCTATGCATATTTTATTGTGAAAAATATTGCTTAACATATTTTTTTTAATTTACAGAGCCTTATAGAACTCGAGTTCTAGAAAAAAATGGCAGGCTTCAGTATTGGCACATAACCATTTGTAATATTATTTAATTAAATATGAAAAATATTTGCATTATATTGAATTTTTGAATGACTGTCATATTATGATTCTTAAAAAAGTAATGAAACTTCATGAGAGTACTAATAACGTACTTTTAGACTGATAACATTAATTTCTTGGGTGAAAATTCTTTCGGCATACCAAATGTTAAAATACTACAAATTAAAGACTCTAGTAAATCATAAAACAATATCACTGAATGGCATTTAAAGGGGAGAGAAACACCAGCGTCGAATTATTCTAATTTACTTATTAAACTACCCCTCGCTGAACGAACTTACGAAGCTAACTAACATGCTAAATCTACTGATAATACTGATCATAATACTGATATTTATATATATATATATAAAGATTAAAACTGAAGAATATTGATTAATAATAAATGCTTTTAATGCCGCACAAATTCTAGGAAATTACTTAATTAAGAATGCGATAAAATATACACAATTAATATAAAACAAGAGTAGTAAACTCTCTAACAAGAAGACACAAATTAAAAACAATTGATGCAAAAACCTGGAAAACAAAACTTAGAATAAAAGTAAATTAACACAAAATAATAAATTAAACATCATTAAATATTAAACAGCAATAAATAGCAGCGTATAATTCCTTGGTCTTTGTCAAGGAGCAGCCAAAAGAATTACCAATAGTGCCGATTTCCAGCCTTGTAAAAAAATCTTCTTATTTTTAATGTTAGTATCAAAGTTTGCTTCATGAATGTTAAACCTTAGGTTCTATGATTAAATCCATAGCCAACATTATGACAATAACAACATTTGTCTCTGTCAAGAAAATAAATTTTTAAAATTCGTTGAGAATTTTCCTAAATACATTATTACAGGAACCTTCGAAATTATAGAAAAGCCAAAACTTTCAGAAGTCTTATAAGCAAAAAATTAGCATTAGAAAACGTTTTGGCAACTGTGTTTACAATATTAACCAACACATTGCCAAACTCCGTAATAAATTTGGACTCAACGTTTTGGAATGAAAAAATAATATTTTTAAATTTATTAAAAAGAAATTTTTAAAAGTATTAAATTTCAAAATTTTATAATAAATACCCAGAAATTCATAATGACATCAAAATATTAAAAAGTCAGTTTTTAATTACATCCATTGATAAAACACACACGAACTTTTGCAAAATTTGAAAAACATTTTATTTTAAAATTATTCAAAAAAAACTTTGTAAGCCATCCAATTACAGTGAGAAATCCATTGCCAACAAAATGTTTGCTTTCCATAAAAAAATAAAAAATTTCAAATAAATCTTACTATGACAAGTTTTCTCATCTTTAAGCCTTTTCTAAGTTTCATACAATACCAGTTAAATTCAGATTTCATTGCAAATGATACTAAATATAAAAGAACGCCGGCTTTTGTTTTAAGAAAACTCTACAAAATGCTTATAACCACATTGACAGCAATACTAAAAATCTACAAAACAGTTACTGGATTACTAAAAATAATTAAAAGATTATAAAAACCATTAATAATTTCAAAAGCTATGATTTTGAAAACATTTACTCCTCTCTTCCATTAAATGAAACTAAAAACAGTTGTATTTCCCTTAATAAATGAAAAGTAATTTCTTACTAACACTAAAATTCCTTCGTCTTCAGAGCCTTTGGCTAGTGTTTCATTAATATTTATTATCAAAGGTACGTAAGTTGTTTGAAGAAAGTTCACAATAATGTCAATTACATTTGTCTTTTTTATCATATCTCGCAAAGCAGTGCTAGAAAAACACATGCCAATTGTTCCAACAATATAAGTTTTAATCTGAAAATAAACAAGTATTCTAATAATAATCATAAAGAGATATATATATAAATACAGATATCGAATATAATATTTTTCTTAATGTTTAACAATCCATTGGGGAATTATTTTATGTAAATATTGACAAGAATGAATTAATATGCACTGGATTACATTACAAACATATTATATGAAGGAAACTAATTAAACAAATCCACAAAAAATTCACTTTATTGAAACAAAAATTCATAAAATTAGTATTTATTACCAGTGTAAACCATGAATTTAAAAAAGCTGACTATCATAAGAAAAAAGTGTTAATTCTTCAGAATGACAACTTGGCACAATTATAAACAAATGATGACTTGTCTTGATCAAAGTAAAATTATATGGTTACAATAAGAAAAACGTTTTTTTTTTCAATTAAAATTACGAATTTTAATATTTAACATAGTTCTGAGACTTTCTGATTTATAGCCTGGCATCTCTATTGACCTAAAAAGAAATTTAAATGGGCTCACTGCTTTCAGAACTAATAAGCTACTCAGTTTTGTTTTGTAACAGCTAAATGTCAAATATGGGTACTAATAACTAAAAACTGGGCTAATATATTTATTGCTTTTACAATTAAACTCAGAGGAAAAGATTTGATTTAATTTCTTTAGGAAAATAAATGGATTCAAGCAATTGAAACATTTCTGAAAGTGAAAAAAATTCACTTCTTTTATTTTCAGCTCAGTTAGTAGGAGAGACAATTAAATTTTCAAGCGAACTGTGCCGTTTGTATACTACATTCAGTCAAAATGGACTATTGTCCACATTAGATAGATATCCTTCAAAGGTTAAAATTATGGTCATATCCAACTGCAATGTATTAACAAAATTTGTCGTAACAATAACATTTAATGAATATTTGAGACGTTATAAAATTCTCTGCTCCTATTTGCTTTGAGTTTAGCTACAGAAATGATATTATACCTGCGCTAAAACTCGAAAGCCGTTAATTTGAATCTGCAAATTAACTGATTTGCTCCGTTAACGTGCGGATTCAAGAGTTTTCCGCATTTCACTTAGGTAACATTCACATTAACAGCTTACGTATCATTGAAAAGTTCAAAAGTCTGTTTTTCTCATTTTCTTTCCCTACTCCTTCCCCATTTTCCTCCAAATTTAGCTTGGATTCGCCAGCATCTTGTCGCTGGTTGTTTTTATTTTTCATAATTTGCGTCGGCTGCCAGTGCCTAGCATAGCTAATTCTGTTTCAGATTCGTTTGAGCCTGTTAGCACGTGAATTTGTGTCGTGATTTTTTTTAATTAAATATTTATCTCCAAGCAAGCACCGAATTGGTGAGTAAAATGAAGAAAAGATTCTCCGCAAACCTCTTTACCGAATATTCAGAATCTAATAGCGTTTTAATACGAAACGAAAGTATTATCGAAGATGTGAAGCGAATAAAAGTTTCCAAGAATAAAGAGTCATCTCGAGATTATAGAAGAATTCGAAGGTATAAATGTGTTGACTGTTCAAGGCTGTGAAAAACTCATTGAGCCGTTGTCAAATGCGCGAAAAAGTGTGAAATACTATGCCGAAAAATTGTTTAACATATTGCATTCCATTCATGCATCACTTGGCCACGGTGGAAGAGAGAGAATGATTAAGCAATTAAATACACTTTACAGAACATAACTTAAGCCCAAATTAAAATGTTGCTTGATTTATGGAATCTTGTCAACAAAAACAAAAAAGTGCTAAAAAAGATATTGTTGTAAAGTCGATTATTTCATCGCATTTCAACAGCAGATGCAATGTGGATCTCATCGATAATCAATCTCAATCAGATGGAAAGTTTAAGCTTCTTCTCGTATACCAAGAACACTTAACAAAATTTTTTGCATTGAAGCCTCTAACATCAAAATGGGCGGATGAAGTAGCCTGTAATTTGCTTCATATTTTTCTCCTTTTCGGCGTTCCAAGAATTTTGCATTCTGATGAGGGACGCGAATTTCGTAATCAAATCTTAGAATGTGTAACACAGTTGTGGCCAGAAATCAAAATGGTTGATGGCAAACCTAGGCACAGCGAAAGTCAAAGAAATGTCGAACGAGGAAATCAAGACATCGAAAACATACCCACTACTTGGATGGCTCATAATCAAAATAACAAGTGGAATGAGGGTGTACGATTTGTACAATACATGAAGAAGCGTGCCTATCATTCTGCAATTAAAAGAAGTCCATATGAAGGCATGTTCGGTTGCCCCGCAAAAGTAGGACTGCCTTCTTCTATTAGACCACAAAGTTTATGACATTCGATAAATACTGTGATACAATGCATTCAAAAATTCGATAAATACTGAAGAAGACATTGAAAAAATAGAAGATTCACAAGAGAATGTGATTATGGGATCACAGTCAAATCTTACTCAAGATGACATTCTGTTATTTTCTGCTTCTTCATTATCACCTATAGAAATACAGGAACTTTTCGATAGTAATTTTAACTGCCTTCTCTACCGTTGATACAGTTATGAAGAGTATTCAGTTACCCTGCGCCTCCAAGGAATCACTTCTGCATGTTGAAGAAATCATTAGTGAGATACCCTCAACAGTGAATTACCTTTCGCTTCTTCAGCAGAATCGCCATCACAGATTCGTACACAGCCTGTAAAGAGGACTGTGCAAGACATGGCCTGTGCTCAAAAGCAGCATCAGGTGCTCACACATGTAAATCGTGTGATATATTTGTTCGCGTAAATAGATCCTAAAGAGAAAGGTAAGAATGTATTGTCGTACATACGTAAAAATTATGGATTAGAAAATACATTGTGATGAAGCCAAGAAAGGTTTAGAAAAGCAAACAAAGAAATTGTGAGTAGTTTTTAATGCAAAGAACTCAAATGTCGATGAAGGTGTCACTGTGAGAATTAAAGTACCCGAACTAGACAGAGCGAAAACTGATGCCCGCTCGATTTTGGCTGTGGTTCTTAGTAAAACAGAGGATGGCTTTCATAAACTTGGTACTAAAACAGGCATTTTAAAACAAGCGTAAGCAAAATCTGAATTCACTGTTTGCAAAGAGAAATTTTTAACGAAAGAAGATATCCCTGCTTCAGAAATATCTTTCAGAAATTCTATTCTTTTATGCTTCAGCAATAAAACAATCCCTTGGTACTCGGCAGGGTTTCAAAAAATGTGATTGCAAATTCACGAATAAGTGTGCTTGTTGCAAAAACCAATTGCTATGTAATTCAATGCGTCACCAGTCTTTAAATTGCACTAATAAGTAAGCATAATTTTATCACAAGTTTTGCAAATTCATTTCCTTAATTGTAATATTTTAAATATTGATTCTATCAACTAATATGCTGACTGTTTGATTATATTAACTCGGTTTTTTTAGATATGAATAATAAATAAATAACGTTAAACTAATTTAAGCATACAGAAACGTTGCTCTTGTTACTGCAAATATATTATTTTCACTGCAATAAGTGTAGGTAATGAACAAGGTAGATGAACAAGTACCTAGTAGGTAATGTGCAGATTATCTAGGTAAGAAACAATTTTCGACACTTTAACGGATCACTTTAGTTAATCTGCACATTACCTAGATAATCTGTAGAATAACAGTTTTTTTCCACTTAAGGCGGTAACACATCTACTTTTTTCTTACTTTCCAGTCTAGCCAAATAGAAATTAAGAGGACAAATTATGAAAGTGCCTTTTAACCTAATTCACAAATTTTAGGTAAAAGTTATCTCGCATCAGGAAGAAGACAATTTCCTAAATTTTTGTGGATGTGTTGCTGACGTTGCCCCTTAATGAAAAAAAGAAACATTCTCTAACATTAATTAACTATTTTATATCTTTCTCACATTAATAATACTTTTTAAACTCCCCTCTTAAAACATTGCACGTTCAGGCATAGCAATTAAAATAATACCCTTTTACTATTACCAAAACCAGATTTAAATTACAGTAGAATCCCCGTATCCGAGGATAATTCGTTCCAAGCCTTATCGCGGGTAATAGCGAACGCATGTAAAATAGGACATTCATACATAAATTTGAAGAAACTTAATTGACGAATTTGGCACACTAAGACATTATCAATATTAATAAGTAATAATAAAACATAATGCACATTGTGGTACTTCATGTATCATAATTTTAATCAAGTAATTAAAAATTTACCTTACATTATAATATGCTCTTTCTCTTGCTCGGGTGCATTAAGTTAAGAAGTCTGAAAATTTAAGCTGATCCATAAAAGATGAATCACTAAGACATACAGTTCCTGTATTGTGTAGTATAATGAACTTTTTTAAAAGGTGGTATGAATAATAATATTTCTTTATTCGGTAACGAGATCAGAAAATATTTTATGGCTGCAAGTTTTACAATGAAAATTATGTGTGTATACCAGTACGTAACATACAATGAGGAAATTTCATTTTTGAAAAAGGTATTAACTTTTTGTGGGATTCAAAGACATCAGTAGCTATGCGACTACAGTATAATATCTAATAATGAGGAGAGGAAGTACGATAATAGTGTGGACATCATGATGGTATGTTTGTATAAAATTGAGGAAATTAATAAGGATCTTCGAAGTCGCCTTCTTAAGGCGCTGAAGAAAATCATATTTAAGGCTTCAATACCATTAAATATTAAGGCTCAATACCATATTCTGCTTTCAATACCATTTTATCGCCCTTGTGGTAAGTAACCTTTGTAGTTTGTGGTGCCACAGAAATTAACATGAATGTTTTAGGAAGTGCCCAAAAAACTAGATTTAATTAAAGCGCCAAACTGCCACTAAATTAAAAGCAAGAATTAAATAGAAAATTAATTACATCGAAGTTACAAACGCCAAACTGCCACTAAATTAAAAGCAAGAATTAAATAGAAAATTACCAATATTTACATCGAAGTGTTACAATAAATTACGGTGCATAAAAATAGGGGCAATATACTCAATAGCTCAAGTACAGCCATTATCACGAAATCAGTAAAATACACTTACTGCTTTTCTTCCATCTCGTATTTGTAATTCAAAACCTCTTCTTGTTTGAAAACAGGACCAATAAATGACTCAATAAATCATTTCCATATATTTTAGATCAGCTTCCTCCAAAAATTTGTGTACTACTATCATTTTTATTCCTTTCAAAGACTGTATGAAGCTTAATTTATTTCATAATAAACCAGTAATACCTTAATTTTTAGTTACTTACAGATAAACATCTAAAATGAAGATTAAAGAACTTTGAAAGCATGTTAAATTAAAACAATAATACAAACCTGTACAGGTTGATTTTCCAGTAACTGGATAAAAACAGGCATTACACCTAATGTTTCAAGCTGCTTTATGTAGATGTGAGTTTTGGAGCACTTCCATATTATTCCAGATATTAATGTCATCAGAGCTTCATTCTTATGATGGCTTTTATTGGATAATATCTGGAAAAACTCTGCTAGAAATTCTTGCTTGTGAAAGGGCTTAAATGCTTCTTGATCTTCAGCACACTAAATATATACGTAATTAATAGACTATAGAACATATTTCAGAACAGGAACTGAACAATTAATATTTATTTATTCATTTAATGGTGCATTATTTTGTAAGTAACTTTCATAATGTGCAAGTTTCTTAATATATATGTAAGATAAAAATATATGAATCAAAATTATAGTTTAAACTATAAACATTAATTCTTCCTCTCTATTCTAAAATCGTAATAACTTCTCTGCATTGCGTCATTTCTAGATCACTCTATGGCCCGCGCAGCTCTGATGACGTAATAATTGGGAACTGAAACTGCCTTTGTAAACCAAAACTTTTCTCTTTGCCGTGCTTCCATCTTTCATAACTACGCACTTCAGCTTTTGCTCTCTACTGTGCTCAGATGTAATTTCGCTGGCTTGCTTTGTATCTCAACAATATCAAAAATGTAAATCTTCTGTGGAAAGGCACGACTAGAGTGCCAAGTGATTGTGGCCACAAATATCAGTTGCAAATAAAAAATGGAATTAAAACTGCCTCGACTTCCAAGTTCTTTCGATATTACCAAGTTAGCATTACTAACATACTACGCAATCAAAATCTTCTTCAATATGGGTCTAATCACACATCTACAGTGTTCCGTCTTTGATTTGCTCTTATTATGACATATATGTTGTTATCAAATAATTAATGCAAGTGCTTTTTCTGTCATGAGCGAGTAAGTAGCATGAGTTGTAAAAAAATCTCTGTTTTTTAGAAAAATCGAGCCCTAAGGCGAAACAAAATGCATAATTAACTATATATACAGCTTGATGCATAGCTTTTACAATGCACTAGCTATGATACATCTCAAGTACTTGAAAAGAATTGCCAGTTTCAAATGTTACAAATATTACACTATTTTGAAGACAATCTTGTAAGCAAATCTAATTATTTTTAGATTTAAAACATTAGCTTTGTTTTACATGTTTTCAATCACAGTATGGAAACGAAATGCAGGCTGATAAGCATTTTCCTTTGAAAACTACAGTACATCATTTATGAAAGGGGAAAAAAGAAACTCATCAAAATTTGGAGCATAGTTAGTTACTGGATATTAGATATATTTAAAGATATGCAGGTAATCAGAGCAGGCAGAAGTAGGCCTGCAAGGTCTTCAACGCAGGCAGCGCCAAGGGGCACCAACAGGCACTTCTTTGGCAGTAATCAACCACATGAACTTTTATTAATAACTAAATATTCGCAAACACATATTTGGAAAATAACTACAACAAAAAACTGTGTAATGATAAAAATTGTGTTTAATGCAAATATGTAATGTAAAATATCTTTAGAATGAATTACTGTGATACTTTTAAGCACAGAAAGTAGGTAAAATTTCTTTGTGTAGCATGTCACTTCGCATAGAATTGGTGAATTTTCATTTCTTTATTTTAGATACATCGTACCACCTCTGTCACATAATCAAGCGTTAAAAAAGCAGCTGGAAAATGGATGGTTAATATGTTAACTATAATTCTTAAAACTTTTTACAATTTACACTAATAAGAGTAATTCATATTTTGCGAATCCATACTTCTAACAGGGTCCAGATGGAATATTAGATGGAATACAGATCATTTGAGTTTAGATGGAATATAGATCATTTGAGTATAATCCTCGAAACAACTATGACGAAAATATGAAGTAATTAAAACATAACCTTGCAAATATTCTTAAATTATATGCTATGACATAAGAAAGATACGCTAAATCGCCGCGGATGAAAATATTCTTATGTTTAGAAAATATTTTGTTTGAGAAGTTCACCCTGCTCTCTGTCTGGACAGTTTTCAAACAATTGATGAGATGTACAGCAACTTAGAATATTGAATGAAAGGGAGTAATGCGATTCAGAACCGGCGCCATCATACCATGATAAGTGGAATTTAAAATATTGAGTCACTACTTTGGACAGTATGAGCATTAACTGCACCAGTGTGGAGCTTTTATCTGGACACTAAGATGAATTAATAATTTATTAACATATTTTATTTACTGATTGTACTTGGAAATATAGTATAGTGAGCAAAATGATAGATATGCATATTGATATAGTACATCAATTAAGCAAAATTGAATTATGAGCTAGTCTAAATTAAATTTTTAGAAGATAAGAAAATACTTAACTTCTCCATTTAAAAAAAAAAAAAAAAAAAAAAAAAAAAGGCCTCTTTTTTTTTTTGCTCTGGGAGACACAACTTTTTCATATTACCTACATTTCAAATAAATTCATGAAACACATTAAAGAAATAAAATTCTAGTGAATGGTGAAAAAAAAACCTTACTATGAAAATAAGATCAGAAGCAGCCTGTTTCATTTCCATATCAGTTGAATGCAAATGATGTAATACATCTTGCAGCATGTTGGAACCAATAACCTGTTTTCTGAAAGATACCTGTTAGAAATATATATATATATAAGTAAAGACGTTAATCAATCGTAATAGAATAGAGGTAGACAGAAAATATATAAAAGAGCAACCAAAAAATGAAAAAAAACTAACAATACATAATATCAAAAAATTCTGTCATATGCTCTCGTTATTTGCGAAAATGACACTTCAGACTGGGAAGAAATGCTGTAGACGAATAAATATCAATTTTAAATACATCCTAAACCACAATACATATTGACTGACCAATTACGCAGCTCCTTAATTTATTTCGTTGATCAAGTTGTTTTTAAATATACATTTTAAAGAAAAGCTTCAAAAGGAAAAAGAACTGAATGATTTTCCAAGCCTCTGTTAACTTGCAAAATTAAGTCTTTCCTTTTGTCCTAGCTTGCTTAGCTTGACCAATTCAGGCAATTGCCAAGTTTATTTCTTTGATTAAATAGTTTTTAAATAATATTAAAAGTAAAAGGAATTATATTTTTGTTCCCACATTAATTAAATTACTGAATTTAAAATTATCATCGATTTTTGTTCTATCTTTTACAGGAAAAAGCCATACTGGGGACATACGGCATATCGAACATTTATCAAAAATTTATTATTTATAATGACATTAATATTTGCTTCTCAATTGAAATTCCCCGCTTATTCACTGAAGTCAGGCTTATTCACTCTTCAGTTTTAAAGGCAGCAAAATCCCCCAGCGATCCAGTGTCCTATCCTCCGAAAAGCTTGCTCTTCTCTCTGAGCAAGGTTGCGAAGTATATTATTCTCTAAAGCAGCGGTTCCCAACCTTTTGACTAATAGGTACCATCTAAACAAAAATTGAAAACCTTTAGTACCACCACTACAAAGTACTACTACCACCACCACTCTTGAACAAAGTTCAGATCGCATAAATGTACGCGTGTTAGAGAAAAAACGCATTAAAAACACTTTGCTTCTTTGCGTACTAACTATTTTTCTCTTGCGGCGCAACCCCAGTGATACGCGTACCACCGGTTGAGAACCCCTGCTCTAAAGGTTCGTACAGTACTCGGATGACAATAACGTCATAACTGCTGAGCACTATGGATTCAACCATGCATCAGCAGCATCAGGTGATGAAATGGACACCATATGGCTTGCAGAACAGGAAAACTACAGGTGCCATATTTCTGGACGTGGCAAAAGTATATGTCTGGGTTTGGCTGGAGGGTCTTATCTACAAACTCATAGGCCTGGGATTACCAAGCTACATCATGCACATAACTTATTCCTATTTGCATGACACACACTTTTTCGCTCGGGGTTTCGCTGCATGACACAAACTTTTCTCGCACTTGTTTGATCCGTGGGCCCTATGCTTTACAATATTTTCAGGAACGATATTCCATACACAGAAGACACCACACTGGCTATAGAAATACTCATCCAAAGCGTATCTCTCGGCTCAGTAACACATGTGTTGCAAGTACATATCCATGCACTGGATTCCTGGCTCCAATTCTGGAAAATTAAGATTAATGTTGAAGAATCTGATGCTATCTTATTCATGAAGAAAATGAATCTGTTCGAGGATGAGCAGATTTGGATGCATAACCCTCCTATCCCCTACACCAAGCAAGTCTAGTATTTAGGAATTAACCTTGATCAGCATCTCATATGGAAGACCCACAATGCACAGGTTAAATCTACGTAAAGACACTTGTAAAGCTACACTGTCCTCTTAATAGCTCGAAACCGCGTTTTACCCATAGATAATAAATTACGCATTTATAAGACTGCTTCCTATTCTCACGTATGCCTCTCCCGTCTGGGATTTTGATTGTGATGCAAATTTTAAAGCATTGCAAATTGCTCACAATTCAGTTTTAAGGTGAGCTATTTACTACCACCGGTTCATAAGGAATGAAGCAATACATAGAGAATATTAAATCAAATGCATTCGTATGTTTATGGCAGCGCTGACCAACAGGTTCTTCAATTCCATACCATGTGTTGGAAACTCAACAATATCAGCTGTAAGGTAGGACTTTAATAGTGAATTTAACAGAAGACGTCCTCTTGCTATTTTCGCCATGTAACTTAATTTTCCCACATTCACTATTGGCCATTTTAAGTTATTCTTGTTTCTCCCTGCTTTCTCTAATTGCCTCTGCTGCTTACTTCACCTCTCCTTCTAGTCTCCCGCTTTGTTTGCTTGATAACGTATGTGACATTTTATTTGTAGCACGCCATCCTGTACGCCTTCTTTTTCCTTAAGAGTTCGCCCTCTGATTGAGGAACTCTCCGTGTCTGATTTGTCCCCCCAGGCAGTACAGCAGTTTGAAATCCCACCTTGCAAAAATGTAGAAATCCATCTTCTTGGTGTTTTCCACCATCACGCCAAAATAATAACAAAATCGTCTGCAGACAACATTTTGCTGAGCACAGGCATAGACATAGCAGTTATGTTCACATATATACAGATGGATCTAAATAAACTGGTCATGTTGTGATGGCATTAATAATTGGGGACCGCATGGAAGGCAGACGTTTGTACCACGCTTCCTCAATCTTTACATCTGAATTAACTGCTACATTTTATGCATTTTTTTTTTACATATCAAAGTTATGCCATAAAAAGTTCATTATTTCTACAAACACATAATGTGCATTAAAAGATTTAGAAGCTTTTTCCAACATCCAGAATCCAGTATTAGTTGATGTTTTTAAGTTTAGTATAAACTTGACGAGTCGTGGATATGAAATTATGTACTGCTAGGTTTCCGGGCATGCAGGAAAAAACAGTAATGAGCTGGCAGATATCACAATGAAATCTGCTGTTGAACTGTCCAGTCGCCTCATCCCTTTCACAGATATTAGTAGTGTCAACAAACAGAAGATCCTGAAAAAAAATGGCAGCGACTTTGGGACATTCAGCCTCATAACAAGTTGACAAGTGTAAAACCTAGAGTAGAACAATGGGATTCTACTAGAAATCGTGAGGAGGAAGTTCTTTAGACTCGTCTTAGAATTGACCATAGTAGAGTTACACATAACTACCATTTGAAAGCTGAGAATGAGCCTTTGTTCGAATTGTAATGCTTGTCTATCAGTCCGTCACATTTAAATTGAGTGCCCATATTTTAATAGTCTTCATCAGAAGTATTTTAATAGCTGTGACTTATCTCTTGACCGATTAATCAGAAGAGAGGTCAATTGTAATTTATTTTATTATTTAAAAGAGATTGGCTTTTTATTACTTAATCTGATCTGATTTTAAGGTTGTGTACTGTATTTTAATATTTACCACTTTTGTACTTTTACCTGGTTTCTATGCTACTTCAACCTCTGGACTTCGTACATTTGTTCTCCTCCCTATGTTATTCATTAGTAATGTATGATTTATCAAATTAGATCACACTATCTCTTCTTTGACGTATTATAATTATCTGTGGTTTTTCGCCAATAATTTCACTCACTCACTCACCGCTTCCAGCCTCCAATCAGCGTGCAGTAGTTTTTGTCGCAGTTTTAAATATTCTACTGCCGGCTCACCTACGTTTGCATACTACTGCTGATGGTCACCTGAGTTGGTTGGACGAACGATTTACAATTACTGTTTCTGAAAGTGCTATCATAATTGCTGTCGTATCTTCGAGAAACGCTATGTTCAAACATGATAGAAAATCGCTCGACAGGGGCGTAGCTAGAGGAATTGAAGGGGGAATATCTATTACCGGGCGCAGCATCCAGGGTGCGCCGAACTCATGTAACGAATTTATAGAATGAAATGTTTTCCATTCTTGGCAAACAACAGGGGTGCGAGATCTTCAGCTGTCCCTAGGCACTGAAAACCCCGGCTACAGTTCTATCACTCAACAACATATACTCCGGCATAGCGCAATCGGGCGGGAACCTTGTTTGCGCAATTCGCCTCAATCCTATGGTTTTGTCTATCGTGTTATTTGGCGGGGGGGGGCGAAATAACTTCAAAAGGCACAAAAATAATGACAAAAGTTAGATTTACTCCGTATGTTCTTATTCATATAAGCATGAAACATTACACTCGTTACTTCAAAGAAGAATATATAATTTCAAAATTATTCATGCAAAATAAGAAATAATCTGTTTTGCTCGTCTTGTGCTCTGTTTGAGATAAAATGCTTTCAAATAATTACTTTATGGCATCCATCAGATTAAAAAAATTATTTATTTATTATGGTAAGACCATTCTGACTTCCTCTCTTTATTCAATTTCCATATGCTCATCAGAGCATTTTAACCATTATTGTACTCATTCTTCAAATTATACCATTAGACTTCTAATTCAAAGTGCAAATACCCTGTCAAGACGATCTGGAAGTGTCCAGTATCTTCGTGAACTTAAACAATTGCTAGTACTGAATTTCACATTTTTAAGAGACCATGACAACTGCCCGTGCGCCGTCATCTTAGAGAGGCTAATAATTTGTCTTCAAACTTAGTCCCCTTCGGTAAAACCACCGACACGTCATTGCGGAGATAATTTGTTGCCCAAAATTTTGGGATTGTAACCAAACGTTCTGAAAAGGTGCATTTAGTCACGATGAATTGTTCGAGCATACTAAACTCAAATAAAAATTAGTGATGGTGATAACATTTTGAACATGGTTGCCATTTCGTTTTAAAATCATATCATACTTATTGGAATAACCTTTACAAGCAAAATCCTAATGTCACGTGTATGATGCTCAAGACAGTTATCAACGACGGGCGCAATCTTGAACTCCTTTCAACAATGAACTACTTGGGCTTATTCGTTGCTGTCAGACAAGTGAGAGAAGTTACAACAAAACATAACCTTTAAAATGCGAAACTATGAAAAACATCCACACAGCTTTATATCAGTAGTAATCAATGTTTAATGATCGTTAAAAGAAATCAATATTATAGTTTACATCACCCACATGTGATGTTGTCACATGATATTGTGAAAAATTTCCATAAACCTTAGTCCTTGCTTTTACTCTGCAACCAATAGAAATCTGAAATAACTCAACAGCTATTTTATTTCCACCAACCCAATAGATCTCACTGACACTGCGATTTAACTTTAAATAAATAAATAAATCTCTTATAAACAATTAAACATGACAATAACTGAAGAAAGATTACATATAATTTTAGTAAACAAACTTCTTTGTCTGTCGCCTTATTTGAACTGTATATGTAGAATCATTCATCTGACTATTAAAAAAAAAAAAAGGAAAAACTTTGACATATATAATATTAAACATTTTTTGAAGACGCATAAGCGGCTCAGGGTCGAAACCTGGCAGATCGAACCATGGTAAATCTCAGCAAACAGCGATTTTCCAGCATAATTATATGTTACGAAATTTACTCATGATACGAGAATGGGCAGACATTTGTCAACAGACCGACTTCAAAGAGTTATTCTTCATGAAACATTAATAACTCTCATGCAATACAGGATAGCTCTGCATTCTGCATTAACCGTTTTCACAACCCCATTATCAAATAAAAATATCGAGTTAAATTAGTTGTAAGAAATTTTAAAACTAAGCATAGAAAAACACTTTCAAAGATGACAAATATATATACTGAAGAGTTCTGAGAATAAAAAAGTAAACAAACATTATACCATGACTGAGAGGGTTTGAAGCAAAACCAGAATAGGTATTGTTACTCTTTGATGTTTGCTTCGAATCCAAAATTGGCAAGCTTCAAGAATATTTGAAGAACATGCAATTTTTCTATTATCATCATTATTACAAAGAGCAGATAGAGATTTTGCAGCATTCTGAGCAATTTCAAGCTTTAACTGAACAAGTTCATTTTTTCTTCCTTGAAATGCAATAGTAAATTTTGACTGAGAAGCATTTAAGAGACATACCTGAAAAGTCAAACAGTATATAAATACGGCATTTTAATGAATTCAATAGTTTAAATATCATAAAAGTTAATTTAAAAAAATTCAGAATTTTAAGTATCATAGAGGTTAATAAAATATCAACAAAGTAATTAAACGTAAGAAGAAAGAAATGATCAGTTCTTACAAGTCTGTGAATTCCTCCACAACTTCGAGCAGCCTCCGCACAGGTTAGATCAGAAGAAATATCTGATATTATGCATAAAGTTTCAAGCATTAACTCGTAATCTTTATCATTTAGATAATGAAACAGCAGATTAATACCCCTTGAATTTATTAGTTCCTTCTGGAGAGCTCTGCATTCACAAAGTCTTCTCAGGCATCTCAAGGCTGTAAACTAAATAAAAACTCTGATAAATTTAGAGATCTGTCATCCCTAATTAGTAAAATACTGTGTATATAAAAATGCAAAACTCACAAATTAAGCACTTAATATAAAATACCTAAATGCAATAACGCTTATCATAATAGCATGAAGACAAAATATATTTATAAAGCAATTAAATGGCTAAAAAGTATTGTACTAAACCTAGAAAACCAGAGATAGTGGAATCAAAGATTGCGCAGAATTTTAAATGTTTAATGAATTTTAGAGGACACACACACAGTCTCAGAGGCAGGTAAAAAATTTGCTGCTAGTAAAATTTCGAGCATTTATCGTATAAAGCTAACTTTTTATCAATGGATGATATACAAACAAAATTTCAATTTCTAGAAAATTTGGTGCAGCAAATTTACCGGCAATTTTTTTATGTATATTTATATCCAAATAAACTTCTTAAAAATACATTTTAAGATATTTTGATTGAAGAAGCGAATTTATTTTATTATTAATGATATTTAACATTTTCTGCACGTATCAGCGATCTCGCTTAGTAGTAAACATGGATAAAAAATCTCTACAAATGTTTCCTTTTAGATAATCCAGCTATCTGGATACATATTACACTGTCTTCCAAAATTATCGTCCGTTTACATGGTTTGCAAGTGTAAAGAATTAATTTGCCCACAACTTTTCTGAAGCTGCATTTCAAATTGAACGCACCTCATAGCTAGTTTGCTTACCTTCTGCGCAATGAGCAAGCTTACTTATACCGGCGGCGAATCGGCATAGGTTTATTAAAAGTAGCACTTATAAAGATTTGTCTAGTGCAGGGGTTTCCAAAGTGTGCGCAGCGGCTTCCTGGGGCGCTTTTATGGAAGGCCAGGGGCGCCATGAAGTGCCTCTCCCTCCTTTCACTAAGAAACAAGACGCGTTGAAAGCTTGGCCATATTTTTATTAATTATACTTTCATTAATTTTATTCTATTTCTTAAAATAATAGTTCCTTAAATTTTTCTCAATATTTATATTTCGGTTGGTCATCTAATTCCATTTAAATTATGCGTTTAACATGTTTATTTCTCCTTTTAATTTAAAGTAATTCTTGCTCTCAGTTTCGTTTCTTAAAACGCTATTTTATTCTGTCACTTAATCCTTTCAATTAGAAATAATTCTATGTTATTGTGTCAGATTGTACTCGATTATTCTCATATATTTTTACACCTATTACTTCCTGTCATATGATTGCTATACTTGGCTTCTCAGCAATGGCATCTGTTGGCGTTTCTTTTTTCCGCTTGCGAGCGTCAGTATCAAACTCAGAAACGCTTGGGGAAGGTCGTACAATCTTATACGCCTATGAAAAAAAAGTCGTGATCTCGACGAAATATTGCAAAAATCGACGAATCCATACTGGTAATTCCCAAAATGAAAAGATTATTAAACCAGAAAACAGATAGTAACAGTAGTTCAAGTTTGAGTGACAAGGCTTAGACAAATGGCGGAGAATAAAAGAGGCGAAAATGTCCTAACTAAAGCAAAGTTACCTCGATTTTGCTTTTACTTCAGTAGAAGTAAACAATGATGAAATACAATGATGGCAGATGTATGCACCCAAGTAAGCTGAAGGGACATCTTGAGACCATTCACCCTAACTTGGTCAACAAATCTCGCATTTTTTAGTAGGAAATTGCAAGATTTACATAAAGCAATGTGTTCACTAAACAAGTGTCAGTTCCGAGTAACGCACAGCTAGCGTCTTTCAAGGTAGCTCACAGAGTGACGAAGTGCAAAAAACCGCATACTATCACAGAAGAGCTGCTATCGACCTAGTTAATATTATGGTGCGGAAACTCAATTCTAAGGTCCCTGTATCCAACAACACTATCAGAATTCAATGTATAGCTCATATGTAAGAAGAATTCAATGTATAGCGCAGAATCTCAATGATCAGTTGATACAGAAAATGAAAGAAATTGAACTCAGTCTGCTACTAGATGAGATTACTGGCAGTAATAATCTTAAATATTGCAAATCTTATATATTATGTACGCTTCCTGGATGATAAAATTGATGGTCTTCTGTTCTGTAAGAGCATCATAGGAAGTGCAAAGGCTCAAAACTTGCTTGACAAGTTTATAATGAAAAATGATTTAGATTGGAAAAGTGCATCTGTGCCAGAGCTTAAATTGCGCCGGAGCCCATTGGAGCCCGGCTCCGGTACTTCTCAGTTTTCGATATAAATTATAATTTCAGCCGGAGCGCACCGGAGCCCTAAATAAAAGGGTTCCTTTTGTGTAAGTGAACCACAGTTTTAGCACATAAATTTTGTTTCAATAGTAAACATGCCTTAAAAATCAATTCTAACTCCTGAATGCAAGCCAGTCTTTCCCTCGCACTCAAGCCTTGCATAGAGGTTAAGACTTTTAAGGAGAGAAAAGCCCTCAATCATATGTCAAAGGCTTATCCTCCACGGTATGCAATGAATTTATGAGCGGGAAAATTTTTTACTCCTCAAAGAACTAAAAGTGATACCCTGGTCATGCACGTTCGACGCTAGTGATTTCCTACTGCAGAGCTCCTGTAGCCTTTCTGAATGATATAATCAAACGGGGCGACCACTGCTGTCACTTGTACGGAGAAGTCTTATGTTTATTCTCTTATCTTCAGGCAAGTTTATTCGCGAAACGTATTCAGGGAAAATTTCTGCTTGACGACTAGAATTATAGCGATAGGCATCGCGATCAGAAAGTCTTAAACTCTTCTCTCTTTATTTTCAAAGCTACACATTTCCGTTACATTTCTTTCCGTATCCTCAAATTTTTTCTAGCATTCTCACTACTCTCCTAAGTGGAGCTTCTGAAAAAAAAAAAAAAAAAAAAAAAAAGAGTGGCACTTGTTATCTCTTGAAATAGTACATTATACGTACAATCAGGCCTTAAACTCAGACGGAGATCGGTTGAGCTGCTTCTTAACATCCAAGTGGAATTAATTAATTAATATTAATTTATTACTTAATTATTTTAATTTTTAGCTATTTTAGTTATTATTTTCCTTTCCTTAATCACAGTCTTCCATACAGCTTCGGCACTTCTAATTCTAGAAATTAAGCCCTGACCTGTGCAGGTACTGATGATGCTCAATCAATGTACAGTCGCTATGCGGGACTGCAGGCATTTATTTGCAGCGAAACATCGCATTGGTGTGTGGACCAACTACATTATCTACTGGGGGCCATTTGCATCTTATAGTCATCATCAAGTCGCTTAGTCCTCAGTTGAGTATGGCATTAGAATGTGTCATAGACGTAGGGAACTACATAAAAACTAGACCGCTGAAATCAATTTTTTTTAAAAAAACTGTGCAAGGATATGGAAGTTGAACACACGGCTATGCTATGTTATTGCAATTCACGATGGCTTTCGCGTAACAACATCCTGTCTCGTGTGTTCAGACTGCATCAAGAAATTCACACTTTTCTGCAACAGGAAGGTCATGCGATCGCTAAAAATTTTGCCGAACCAGACTTATTGCTGATACTAGCATATTAGGGCGCCATGTTTGACAAACTAAAATTCTTAAATCTGTCACTACAGGGCAATGTATGCGCATCTTGGAACTTAAAGAAAAGATTTCAGCGTTTAGGAAAACCTGGAGTTCTGGATAAAAAAAAACTGAATGACGCTAGAGCTCAAGATCGTTTTTGAACATTGCACCAAAACACAACTTCTAAAATTAAGACACAATAACACGCCGAATAAATACTAAATCATCATCAAAACAACAAAATCAATATTTTGTGAATATAACGCTGATTTTTGTTGTTTGACTTCTGATTTAGTACAACTTCTAAAGTTCTCGTTCTATAGGAGTTGCTATCCCTTTTCATGGAACACCTTTCAAAGCTCATTGACTGGTTCGCAAAATACTTTGCGGAAGATAACGTAAAGAAATATATGTCACTACAAGATACTGTTTATTCGCAAGACGAAGATTAATTAGAAGTTTTAGATTTCAGTCACAACTGAGTATCCAACTTTTAAGTTCTAAACCTCTAACGATCATCATTCCCTTTGCAACATCCTATCTGTGCGAAGCTTGGTTTTCAGCTCTCACTCTAATAAAGACCAAATATCGTTCGAAAATCAATGTGGAGCAAAAAAATGAGAATGGCTGTTAGAATCATTATACTTCACTAATTTTTTTTTTTTTTTTTTTTTAAATTTGGGTGAGCCCGATTAACGTTTGGTAGAAATTTTGCAACAGGGGCGCCGAGAAAAAATAACCAAACTGTAAGTGCCCTACATACTGAAAAAGCTTGGGAACTCCTGGTCTAGTGTTAGAAATGGAAAATACGTCTAGCACTTTCTGTTAACTGCTAGTAGTGTTTATCCAGTTGCACATGTACAGAATATAACAGCGGAATCAGCGTAAATATTAATATAATATAATTCAGTGAAAAGTTTATTGCAGGGATTTTCGTGAAGTGTATTTAAAGTAAATTTAAAGTATTTTTGTAGTCTTTCGTTTCGTATGCTAATCTTTCGTTTAAGAGCCTAAAAATTACTTCGAAAATAATTTTGCTGGTGAATATACCCTTTTTTTTAATAAAATACTTCGATTCTTTAACAAATGAGTTTCTTAACTCCTAAAAAATTTCCATATCATTCATACCTTTTTCTCAATACTTCATATTTCCTTTGAGCTGGCATTAGTTTAAAATTTTTTAATATGTAATAATATCGTATTTAATAAATTTTGATTAAATAATTGAGGTAAGAGAATCTCTTGATTACTTATTTATGTGCAAAACATCCAAATTTAGTTTAAAAATGAGAACTGGAGAAAAGTAAACAAAACTCGGATATGACTTCGAAACAGTCATGTTGTTCGAAACTTGTTGTAAATGATGCATGTCTTTAGAAAGTGCAGGAAATGCTAATCTCATTTCTTTAGTAACTGCAATATTAAGATTACATGTGCGTTGAGAAACATAAGATGAGGCGTTGAAATTTT